CAACAACAACAACAACAAAAAGAGCAGATACTGAAATGGTGAGGAATTTACCCTAAAACAGGCAATGGTGACTCTCTAGCTGAAACAAGTCTTTGATGCTTAGAAGTTGAGAAGTTTGGATTCTCTAGCTCTTCATCTTTCTCTGGTGTTGGGATCAGCAAGTGCGAATAAGGACATGCAACACAATTTGACTATTGAAAGAAAAACAACAGCAGAGAGACAAAGTTCAAAGTCACAAAGTAGTTCACTGAACTACAAATTAATTTTCCATGCAATAAATTTACAAGTTAAAAAGATTAAGCTCCCCCCCCGACTCTATAATCATTTCACCAACATGTTTGATTACGTGGAGTTCATTCTTCATATGTTCCCTTCTCAAAAGCTATGGTGGCTTCAAGAGAACAGCAAAGTCACCAGAGCAGCAACCGGTCTACTTAAAAGAGAACTCGCCACCCTGCCGTTGCTTCACCAGACAAAAACATATTCTGCATGAAGGAAAACAGGCTTTCAGCTTTAGAATCCCATCTGTTTATTTTCCATCTGATGGCAAAACTCCATGACAGAGGAAATCAAGATACAGAGGGATTCAGGTGGGAAGGAAACATATGGATTTCTGTATTTCTTATGGTAATAAACTTTGAAAGAGTAAGAATGCAGTCTCTCTCTCTTTTTTTTCTAAAAGGTTGTTTCCATTCAACGCTTGTACAAGGCAGACTTAAAATATATGAATTTAGCCATCTCCAGATTATAGTACTGCTGCGTACAGAAGAAATTGCAGGTGCTGACTGTAACTCAGCATCTACGCTATTCCTTACGTTCTGAAAATACATGCTCTGAAAACATTATGCGCAACCAGCATGCCAAAGAGAAATAGACTTATATTAACTCTTGCAAAGGAATTAAGTGCAAACAGTACACAGAAATAAATTAGATGCCTTTGTGAATCTGGTAAACACAACAGGAGTTCCCTGATAATTTAAGTTGTAAGGATCTCCAAGTTTTTTGATTAAAAAAAAAGAACAGTTCACGTGTTCTGCTTTGTAAGGCATTTTAATTTGATAGCCAGCCATATGAACAGGAATATTTCCTTTAGGCTGGTCTAGTTTCCTCAGCAACACCTAGCATTGTGCATTTCCCTGAAACAGAAAATTCTTTTCTTTTTTTCTTTTTAATTAGAGTCAGGTCAATTCTCTCTCCTCCCCCTACCTCCCATTCTAGCCTTAAAGGAAGATGCAATTCACAAGGTAAAGATTATTTCTGCTACAGGCACTATAAAAATAGATGCAGAAAACCTGTCACACTGTTCCTAAATAAGTTATCTTCAATAGATTTGGGAAGTTGCCCAAACTTTCTGCTTCAGATACTCAATGAAACTGACATGAAGATGTGTGGACTTCAACTCCCAGAATTCCCCAGCCAGCCGTGATAACATGTGGCAATTGTAGGAATGGCTTTAAAGTTATGAAAGCCATTCCTCTAATTGCCACATGTTAGCTAAAGCATTTCACCAGCCTTTTGCTAGACCGAAACCCTTAAACAAGACATCCTACCATAACAAACCTTTCATTTCAGTCTGGAATTCAGATGTCTTATTCTAAAGCCTTTGCAATTTTTTCTAGGATCTGGCAGGAACTCCTATAGAGTTATCTAAACTTTGGCTTCCCAAGCATACAAGGTAATCAGCATGACACCCTGTTATAGCAAAGCACTTTCAAGAGATGTTGCGGTATAATCTTTAAGACCTGCAAGGCTAGTACATTCTACCCAAGCCTGGCTTTGTACAAGTTGTGTTTTGGAAACTTAGCTGATGAGCATGTGTCTGTTTGAACTTTTATCTGCACGGTAGCCTGAAGGAAAAGGGTTGAAGAGTTGAAGGAAAAGAGTTGAAGTCCACATATCGTCAACTTGCCAAGGTTGAGAAACACTGCTTTAGCTAACATGTGGCATAGAGGAATGGCTTTCATAACTTTAAAGCCATTCCTACAATTGCCACATGTTATCACGGCTGGCTGGGGAATTCTGGGAGTTGAAGTCCACACATCTTCAAATCGCCAAGGTTGAGACACACTGATCTAAAGTATTCTGCAGGCACAGAAAATGGCTGCTCTGCTTGACACATGGTAGCATCATTAAAATGTCATATATTTGAAGGAGGTTGTGCATATCACATAGCAGCTAACTCAGATTTGCTATAATCTCCAAAGAGCCAGACTGCCCAAATGCCCATATTTTTAAAATACACGTTCGCGCTCATATATTACCTTTTTTTTAAGGAAAAGAGAGATGACTGATACATAGATAGCTATACTTCAATATAGTATACTATAATACTAAGACACGAGTTATTTCCACTGAAACAGAGATGCCTGATTTATGAGTAGCAAAATGGGCCAGAGGAAAGGAACAGATGAAAGCTATCCAGCAATCTCTTCTCAAACTGAATTAATTCCATATTTAGCTGATGAAGAACACCAGCAGGTGCTCTATTCCTTTGAGGAAGAGCCCAAAAGGTGAACATTTTAAGGGCTGACAGTTAGAACAGATTATTCTGATCAAAGGGAATCCATAACCAAAAGCACTTTTTTTGCTGTAAGAGCATTTCATTCATTTATTAATTTATTCCCTAGTGGCCCGTGCCACCCAACCAGCAAGAGAAAATGTAAATTAAAAACAACTAGGATTACTTAAACATCATCTCAACCCAAACCACCAGCCCCAACTCAGCAGCTGTTTCCAACATCCCTCGCCCAGAACATTCTTAGGAGAAGCACCATTTTAACGCTTCTCCAGAATAAAACTCTTGAGGAGAAGGCTGCTTTAGAGCAAGGGAACTATGACTGAGAAGGACTGCTTTTGCCCTGCCCCGAGAAGGCCTCCCTGCCCCCCTTTCACATCACAAATGGAGGAAACCTGCAGCTTCCCTTCCTAGACCGCAAATGCTAGAAGGGGAGATTCCACCTGGAGCAGATGGTCCTAAAGGTAGTAAGGTCCCGAGCAACAAAGCGCTTTATAGGTAATAACCAGCACCTTGAGTTGAATCCAGAAGCTACTGGCAACCAATGAAGCTCCCACAAAAGCCGTGTTATGCCACCATATTGGCTCTTCCTGGTCAATAGGACCACTGCATTTTGTGTGCCAAACTCACTTCCAAATCACCCTCAGGGGCAGCCACACAGAACAAAACACAGTACAGCTGCTCCTCGTTTAGTGACTGTTTGCAAATTACGATAGTTATTTTTTTACAAAACCCTTTTCTGACCAATGTGTGCACTTACAACCACATTTCTGCGCCTGACAACAATGCATGTCAGACTGAGAGTAACACTGGCATGAGCAACTCTCATGGCTACATGAGAGAACTTTATCTGAAAGAGACGGCAGCAACTAGTGATCTTCCCAGCATCTCTTTGTGTCACATGTTCACTTAGCAACCATTTCATGTCCAATTTAAGGAATGGACTGTGGTCTCTAAACGAGGAGAGGGGGTAATCCATAAAAGAAATGGGAAGGACATGAGTTACTCTTGCCAGGGCCTGCACCTCCAGCCTTAGCATTAAATTCCAGTCTTCTGTCTTATGTAATTGGTATGTTATGGCACACCTTGGGTTACACCCTGCATTAAAATGAGGGGTATATTTCATTAATTAGACCCTGCATTAAAAACAAGCTAAAGTTTGCTACCTAATCTCCTCTCAACAGGCAAGGAAGCATTTATTTCACCTTCAGCAAGTTGCATTTCTCTATCCTATACCCGTTCTAGTCTTTTTCAGATGCAGTAGATGAAAGCTTCCAGAATATAAGCCTACATAAATGATGGCTGTGCAATCTGGGAATTTTGAGAACTGTAATCCCACATATCTGGAAGGCATTATCTGGGAGAGGTGGTGGATACAAAAATTGAACAAAAATATTATTTTGCAGATTTATGCACAGAAAAAGAACAATATGGCATGCCTATGAAGTAGATCCATGAAAGCTTTAGTTATATTTTTAGCAGTCTTAAAATGCAAAAGTTACCTGATTTTCATTTGGTTTCCTGTTGGTTATTTTTATGTTGGAAGTATCTTCATCTGGATCTTGTAAAAACTGAAAGAAAAAAGTAATTCAGGAAGTCTTAAAGTGCAAAAGTTACCTGATTTTCATTTGGTTTCCTGTTGGTTATTTTTATGTTGGAAGTATCTTCATCTGGATCTTGTAAAAACTGAAAGAAAAAAGTAATTCAGGAAGTCTTAAAGTGCAAAAGTTACCTGATTTTCATTTGGTTTCCTGTTGGTTATTTTTATGTTGGAAGTATCTTCATCTGGATCTTGTAAAAACTGAAAGAAAAAAGTAATTCAGGACTAAGACTTGCAGTGTAAAGATAGAACAGCTGTACCACTGAAATTAAGAGATTTCATTTTACTTGAAGTAAGTCCCTTCAGTTGACTTTGAAACACCATTTATTATCATAGTTAAAAAGTAGCTACTTCAAGGGTCACCACTTTGGTATCTGCTGCCTCACTTTAGATAACTTTCTACTTATACGAAGTACAAAAACAAACTCACTATCCTGCAACAACATTAACTTTTAAGAAGTTAATGTTTCTAGACCAGAATCAAATTGTTCAGAGCAGATCAAACAGCTGTGACAGAAAATACTCCCTCATTTCTATGGCAAGCAAAATGGGTGGCCAAGAAGAGAAACTGTTTTGTTGTAGCCAACAATTTTAGTGACTGAGCATATAGGACAGACACAAATGATTTCACCTTTAATCCCTGGCATCTCCAGAAATGTTTGGGAAAGACTCTTCTTGAAATCTTGTACCTGTATTGATCAGTGAACAGCTGGACCCAGGAGAACCTGTGGCTTCTGCAAGCTTCCAGATCCAGGAGAACCTACCGGCCTCCAGATGCTGGTCAGCTAGAACTCCTAATAGAGTTGTCCCCAGCAGGGACAATGATGAGATGAGATGAAGGAGGAGATGAAACACAGTTGCTATCTCCAGAGTAGTATTTTTTAATATTTAATATAACTACCACAACAAATGTATGATTAAAAATAGTGTTTAGCTTTATCATTTTCTTTTTTCTTTTTAGGAATAGGAAGCCATTTTTCAGTCAGTGATTGTTTTCATCATTCTTGCATCCTTCAGTTTTGTTGGATTATGATACCATCTTACTCAAATCACATGGCCATGTGCTTATTTTACAACAGGGTTGATCTGTGCAAACATTTTCTTTTTTAATGTTCAGAGAGAACAAGCCACTAAATTGGGTACTTACTATTACAACGTCAGCTTTTCTTTTGCGGGTGCGAACAACAAAATCAGTAGCACAATCATTCTTGGCTGGAAGTTTCCTGTCCCTGCAGTCGCTACAAGGAGAGATTTGGATTACTGTGACACACTCTATGTGGGGATGCCCTTGAAGAGCACTCAGAAGCTGCAGCTGGTCCAAAATGTTGCAGTGTGCAGTTTTTGGCATTTCTCATTATGCCCATGCAACACTGCTGCTCTGTGAGCTGCATCAGCTTCCAGTAGGCTTCCAGGTACAATTCAAAGTGCTGGTCATCACCTGTAAAGCCCTCCATTGCATAGAGCCAGGCTACTTGTGGGACCACCGTTCTCCTACTGTTTCTGCCTGCCTCACCAGATCTAGTACAGGGGACATGCTCCAGATCCCTTCTGTTAACCAATGTCATCTTGTTGGTCCCTGGAATCACGGCTTTTCAATGGCAGCACCTGCCCTGTGGAACAGCATCTCCTGGGGATTGGGATAGTCCCAATCCTGTTAGCCTTTCTCAAGGCATTGAAGACCTGGCTGTTCCCCCAGGCATTTGGGTCAAGAAGTGGATGAGCTCTGCTCTATTGATGGTGAGTGGGGTAAACAGTTTATTCTTGGGTGCCGGGGGGTTATATCTGGGGGGTTATTTGTTTTAATCTTATAAGCCACCCAGAGTCACTTGTGTGAGAGGGCTGGCTATATAAAAAATAAAAATAAACAGTCCAAGCCTAATCACCTCATGCTCAGCATATGAAATCACAGGAGACACACTTATACAGCAAGGAAGGAGGAGAGGAAGTGACCACATTGATCAATAACCTGAATCATCATTAACGAATTGGAGTCAGAAATTTCTTTGGCATTTACTGAAGGGAGCAGAAGGCCCACTTTCAGAAACAAGGCTTCAAAAGGGTGGAGCATGACAAGTATGTAACTCACCTCTCACCAGGCATGGTGGCTTGGAGGAATCAAGATAAGCCTCAGCCAGAAACTGAAAGAAAAAAAAAATGGTTGCAGATTTTTTTTCACCAAACGTAGTTATAAAAATATAGTAAGCCTACGAGGGTAACTTGATTTTAAAAGAGGGAGGAGAGAGAACAATCATTCCTAGGAACAAGCATGCAAAGTCAGGATAGGGATTGCATTTAAAGAGAGAGAGAGAGAGAGAGAGACACCACTGATGTGACTCTCAGCATGGACAAAGTTATTAGGAAAGCCCACAGACATAATTTTAGAAAAGTTGCTGGCCCAACAAGAGAAGCCAGAGCTGTATAACTGCTAAGAGTAAGCAACAAGGAGGGGAAAAACAAGGACACTGCCCAGAGACTATGTATCTATATCTAAAACCTTCTGCATGCACCTAATTATTAAAAAAAAAAAAATCAGCAAGCACCTTTCCCCCATTATTCCTAGTGATCTCAGGGACCATGCAGCAGTACTGAAGAGGAACCCGGTGTGAGCTCACCCACCCCTCCAAATCAATCAAAATACCCCATGAGCAATTAAGCCCCCTCCCACACATGTGGCTCGCCCACGACTCCCCCAACATGTGCTGGCGAGTGATAAGGATAAGAAGACCACCCAGCCTTCCAGCAGAAATACAGCACAGAAATAGAAACAAATGCAACAGCTATTCAGGGGAGGGGGGCTAGGACAGGCCCCGCCGCCCTCCTTCAAAGATACCTCTGAAAACACCCCTAGAAGCCCCTTCCCCAATCAGAGGGGAGGAGGCCCGCAGCAAAAGCCCTTCTTACTGCAGGCGGAGGGCTGCCGGCGCTGGCGTGCACCCCTGCGGCGTGGGCTGGCGGGCGGGCGGGACGCAGGAGGAAGGCGGGCTCGACTGGGCCTGCGGTGGG